CCACACTGCTATGAAAAACTAATGGTGCAGAGCAACCTGCTACCCATATTCCCCCCTCAACACCATACACTGACAGATCTGCATCAAACAAAATTATCCCTATCAGTGCTTGGGGTGTCTGACTGCTGAAAGCTGAAACAGTATAACATTAAAGACGGCAACAACAATACTGAAAATAACAACAATAATAATAAATGATGTTAAACAATGATACTGATAGTGACAGGGACAAAACTTACAAAGTAGTCAACCACTCCTTCAGAGAGAGATTTTTGAGGTCCATTGTAACTAAAGATATTCAAGACTTGACCCCAAGTTAGATTTGCAGGCAGTAGATGGCAAGTAAGTAACAACCTCATAAGTATCAGGGTGAAGGGCTTATCCCCAGAACCATCAGATTACAAGGGCAGCTCCACATCCACAAAGGAAAACTGCTTCTTATGAATTTTCTCACTCTGTAAATTTCTCTTTTAACACCTAGGTGGAATGGGAACAATGGCTTACACTTTATGCCAATACTACCCAAACATGAAGATCACAGTGTGTGAAGTGCAGTCTGTTGTGGACTCTGCCCGTCATTTTCATCCCCCGTTAGAAGATTACCCCAATCAAGGAAACATCTCATACGTAGTAGGGAATTTCTTCCAAACAGATCTGCCAAAGGCTGATTTGTATATATTGTCACGCATTCTTCATGACTGGCCAATTGAAAAAGTGGAACTTATACTCTCAAATGTCATTAAGTGTTTGCCTTCAGGTACGTATCTTGCTTTGCTTGCTGGGATATATAATGGTAATTGAACTGAGTGGGATGCAATTTGGACTGAAATCATAAGCATGATTCCAAAATTGAACAAGCATGCAGCAAGAGTTGGTTTTCATTTTTTCATTTCAGACCAAAATTGCATGGCATGAAGCATAATTTTCACTTTATTACATCCTTTTTGAAATCCCAGAATTCTAGTGCTCAAATACAGGTTTCCTAGTCTGTTCAAATATTTTACTGATCCAGCATTAAGCAGGTTAGTAAAAAGTTACCAGAGTTGACTTTTATTTTCCTGAAATTTAATTGGTTTCTTTAACCGAGCCTTGAAATCTGATTGGGTGTTGTGTTTTACTTAAGCTCTCTCACTGCCTGGGAAAAGGATGTAATTTAGAGCATAAAATGTTGTGTTTCATGAATAAACCGATAAACCGCAGTGATATAGCCAATCAGATTTCAAGGACATTGATTTTAAAATGGATGTAATATATCTATATACATTACAACCTTACCCATAGCTTACATTTGATTTTGCATCATGGCAATACCCTGTTGTTGGTCTGGGAGAACTTGGGATTAACTCAAAATAGCTTTAACCCTAAAACTCCCACATCAAATGTGTACTTCTCCTAATTCTGAGAGAAATTCTGTCTTGGTCACTCACAAGAGTAATAGGGTTAAAACAGGTTGCATACAAAACTCAAGAGAAAATCAGTCTTTGTCATTCAAAAAACTCTTATTAAAAAAGTTCAGAAATAATATATATTCACACTTTAACCCTTTTAAGCCCTAAGATCTAATTGTCAGTTCTCCCTTCTAACTGCTACACATTTCCTTGTAAATTAGTTATGAGAATTTGGTGTTAGATTAAGATTTCAACTAGTTTGAGTATTTTCATGACCTGTTTACTGGATAATGTACAGATATTATATATCACTTAAGGGTTAAAAAGTCAACAGCTCAATAAAAGAGAGTATATCCTTAAGCCATATCATATAATCTGCCTGTGATTGTCACAGAAAAATTGCAGTCAATTTTTACAAACTCAATTTTTTATTCAGATCACTATTTTTACCATAAAATTCAAGTATAAAAGCAACAATCTTAACTCTTTAATCCCCAAGATCTTAATGTTAATTCTCCCTTCTAGCTGCCATACACGTCCTTGCAAATCAGGTACGAGAATTTGGTATTCGATCAAGAAAGCGACTTTGACCTGAGAAATTTGAATATTCTCATTACTTGTTTGCTAGATATATGTATGGATATTTTAGGGAGAAGTTTCATGTTAATCACTTCTGGGAGTTGAAGGGTTAAACTCTGAGTGACTAGCATCTAATTTCTCCTTACAAAATCACCCTTGAATCAAACATTAAGGTAATGAGAATAGAGGAAATGATCACCAACTAAAGCAGCTTTTGATTATCAAACAAATTCTCTTTATCAGCACCTTGGGAAGTGTGTAGTGAATCGTTTGGAGAATATGGATACTGATGTCAAGGGGTAAAAGGTTTATGGAGGAGTTAGCTTTATAGGGATTGGAATAGCACTTAGGTTAGTACCTAAGTGTTAGTGTTATTTGTTAATAATAATTATTTACTCATCTACATTTTAGGTGGCTGTTTGCTAATTGCTGAAGCTTTATTGGATGAAGACAAAACTGGACCTAAAAGTGTTCTCCTTCAGTCACTGAATATGCTTTTACAAATGCAGGGAAGGGAACGCACAGCAGAGGAATATAAGGAGATCTTGGAAAATAAGGGATTTGTTGATATTCAGACCAAAAAGCTGGAGCCCTCTGTAAGATTAGATGCTATTCTATGTAGAAAAGCTTGATGAAAATTTAAGCAGGTCACTCTATTTTGTGGTCTCAGTCAAATCCAGATAATCCTACATTTGGGATAACTGGTTCTTTGGAACAACTGTCCACATTTAATGGATAATCATTGCTTCAGTACTGTTTTGGTTTATTGAAATTTCTTGATAATGTCAAATTTGAGACCATAAAAATATTAGCATTGTAAGAGATAAAAACTGAAAGAATACGCTTAAAAACCTTTAAGATAGAACAAGTATGGCAAAGGATGGAAAAGGAATGACAGGATTGAAAAATTTACATGAGAAGTGTAAGGGGTGACATTCCAACACATGGGAAAAACAAAAACCTCTTGCAAACTTTTTTTAGCCAATTTGACACCAAAGTTGTAATTGTTTTTTGCCTTAATTGATTGGTATGGTTCTAGTGAAGCACTGTACATGTTTGTGACTGCCATCTTTGACTGTTTCCCTCTGGTAAAAAAAAAAGCCTTTTATTTTTAGCTCTTCTGCTGATTGAGAAAAAGAACTGTTACAAATTTACCATAAGTCCAACATCAAATATATCAGATGTAGCAGAGATTCACCGTCATTAATCATATTAATCTCCAT